CAGCACTTCTTCCTTGTTAGTCCAGCGACCAACGCCAGCAAGCAAAATGACGCTGTTACAAATGCCACATATAAGACGCTGATCGTTAGGTGAACCCTCAGTCACGCTTGAGGTCGATTCCTTCAACATTTTGAATTAATTAATAATAAGGAGGCACAGCTGTAACCCAGGTCCGCCACGTTATCAGAGACCACATGCCATTGAAGCTATATACCATGTTAATGGCGAAATCCTAATTATATCACTTTCATTTCAAATAGGACGACTTTCAAACTAATCTGGGCACACCCCTAACGTTGGGCAGCTGATTAACCAGACCAAACTAGGTACTACTACAAGCTTCGTCTGAATATTTCCACGCTCCTCCCAACGCGGTCACTGCATCAAAATATTTTATGAAATTTTCTCCTTTAACTTTTGCTAATTCGCATTCGAACTGAAAAGGATTGGTACCGACACAGGAACGAGTTCGCCCACTTTATGATGAAGCTATCGCAATTTTCGAACTTTAATAACCTTTTCGACGTTATTCTTTTCACATTCTTTCTTCAAAAAACGAATGTACTCATGGATATGCATTTATACACTGGCACAAAGCCCCCGCACGCCAGACCACACCCACCTTTGCGGCTTTTTGAGGAATTACAGTTCTTCCTTCAAAATTTTCGCCTTCTCAGGCTAACCGCTAGCGCCGCCCACTTCGCGGAACTCCGCCCACCTTTGAAAAATGATTAAGAGCGGTAAAATGGAGCCCGACCTGCAGCTCATAGTCTCGCTCGTCACTCGGAACAAACTTTCTTTGGTTTTCCCGTCTGGGTGACGGGAGAGACCATAATTTGTCAGTTCTGCTCTAGCCTACAGATCTGAACCATTTTCTGAAGTGGGAGGAGTTCTGTGAAGGGGCGAGGGTGCTGGGACGCGGCTTGCAGCGGTGCCTAACGTGGTCCAATTAATCAACTGCCCAATGTGAGAGGTGTGTCCCATTCAGTTTGAAGAGTGTCCTTTTTAGTTCAAAAAGTGTGTCCGATTTGAAATGAAAATGGTATATATCAGCTCTAGACACAGACAGTAGATTATCGCTGGCGTCATTCAACGTCATTAACGCGTTGAGTGACGATCTACCTCTTTACAGGCTTGTGTTGATGACTACGTCACCGCGCGAAGGAAAGTGATAAATTGAAAAAGGAAGTTACAGAAACACCAAACGACTGATACACCCACTTTCGGATCCGTCGACGATATCGTAGTGCATGAAGGATTGGATGAGCTCATCTTTTAGCTTTATTTGTCTAAAGAAAAGGATGCTGGAACGCATGGGAAGCACATCGGAATAGCTGATCAAAACAGGTTACCTGTACAAGGAGGCGATTTTTGTCACGTTGTCTTTGTTCGTTATTCTGAATGTCGGGTATCAACAGGATTGCTTCACGTAGCTGTTCCAAGCCCGATTCGACTTGTCGCAAGCGAACAGTCAACTCAGATCCACTTCCTTTCTCGAACCTTTAATGGAGGGCTAAATGGTAAATGTGCTGAAAGAAAACCAATTGGAAATCAATAAGAAAGCCTAGCACTTACGAGCAAATGAGGTGAAGTAGATCAGAATATATTTTATTGAGGCTATTCTGGCACTGTTCTTCTTTACTTTCAGCAGCGTTCATCCAAGACGGTTTCTTTGGAATATAAATTTGGATTTTGGCCGTAGGAAACTCACAAACGTCCTTCAAAATGTCGCAACGGAAATAAGCGCGCTTTCGTTTTCGAAAGGTGCTGTTCAATTGCGGACATTGTGTGCATTACGGATACTACGTTATACAAGCCGCCTTTGGCATTTGCTGTGGGAGTTAGTTTTTTTTACATGATTGGAGCTTAGTGGTCATTATGACCCATTTTATTCAATGTTTCTCACACAGATGGATGATCTTCCACATTTCGATATCAAGCCAACTTCCGTGCAAAAAATAGTGGATCCATTCGTGGACCTCGGACATCTTATCATTGTGGATCGCGACACCATTGAAGGAGATGCCAGGTGAGAGCTATGTACTTATTTGTTTGTTAGAAAATAGGGCGTTAACGCATCGGGGGGGGGTGGTGAGAGGAACACATTGCGCGCAGCTCTTTCTGCTCCTTCCGCGAGTGTTTGAAACAAACCATTAAGTATTAATCTTTAATTGCACACGTTGTGCTGGTAACACTGTTATCCCCCCCCCCCCACACATTTCAGCTGAAATGAGACTCAGAGACAGAACAATACTTCGATGTCAGTATTGTTCTGTCCCGTCTCATTTCAGCTGAATGTGAAACGCCTCGTTGTGTAAGACAACGCCAAAAAGAAAAAACAAAACAACGAAACACGATTCAAAATCCAAAACAAGTGAACATGCAGAAAAAAACAACGACAACTTTGAGAGAAAGCAGCTGCTCAGCTACGGATTTCTGAAAGTGCCAAAGCACCCTGGATGACGAGGTTTCATTAAGGCGCAAATAAGTAAGTATTTCAAGCAGGAATTTGATAAGACTAGGATAGAAAGGTGAAGTGAGTATACCCACTGGAAAGTTTGCCCAAAAGCATAGCGTTTGCTGCTGAACTACTGTCTGCTCCTGCCTGTCTGTTCTGCTGGGGCGCTATTGAAGCGACGGAAGAGGGGCTTTCGATCTGCGGAGCGTCAGGCTTTTGGAAGTAACATTTTTCAGAAAGGATAGGGTTCATTCACCCTAAAATCTTTCCCTCCTAGACATTGATAATCTCGTCCACTGATTACTCCTTCGCACTTTTCAGCGTCAATTGCCTGACTTTATTCGACTACTACCCTATGACGGTGTGAATATCTTGTTCTACTCCTGAAATTCTGAAGTTACCTGGGAACAACTCACTCTCACTGGAGCCAACCAAGCTTGCTGGATAATCTCGGCGAGGAGGGAGCGAAAGAGCAGCTTGCCGCGTGTTCCCCCCCCCTCCAAATGTCCTTGCAGCCAAATTTGTAAGTATTCCGCACATTATTGAAGACGCAAGTCGCCTCGCCGGGCTGACGCCTGGCGCGAATTCTTGCTGATAGGGCCCCGGCTGTCGGCCGCGGGCGGGCGGCGGCTTCGCCCGCGCGCGTACCTTCTCTCACATATTTCTAGACTCAACTGATATCCGCCTTTTGTTCTGTACTCCACTTTTCTCCGGGGTCTGAGTACTCTTGAGCTGTTTTTACGAATTCTTTCGGTACTGTCTGACTCCGCCCACCTCAGAGCAGACCCGCCCTCAATTTTTGTGCCCCGCACTCTTCACAGGCGACCCCCTGCTGACCTTAATCCACTTTTTTCCGGTGTCTGATGTGTTCTGGAACCGTTCTGCAGAGTTTTTGTCTGGCTCCGCCCACCTCGAAACAGGCTCCGCCCCAATTTTTGTGCCCCACAATCCTCATTGGCGACCCTCTGCTGACCTTGATCCACTTTTTTCCGGTCTTCGGAGTGCTCTGGGAGAGTTTTGGAGAATTTTTGTCTGGCTCCGCCCAACTCGGGCTGGCCCCGCCCACAACATGTATACCCCACATTTCTTAATCGGCGACCCCTTGCTGACCTGAATTCACTTTTTTCCGGTGTCTGATGTGTTCTGGACCGTTTTGGACCGTTTTTAATCAGACCTTTTCTGTCTCTCGCGCCCCAGCCGCTCGAAGTCGGGCTCCGCCCACAACGCTTGTTGCCCCACGGTCCTTCACCTTCGACCCTCTGCTGTACCAGTTAAATCCTACTGTTTTTCCGGTCTTCGGGAGTGCCTCTGGAACCGTTTTACAGACCCTTTTGTCTTGCTCCGCCCACCTCGGAGCAGGCTCCGCCCGCAATGTTTTTGCCCCACAGTCCTCCCGGCGAACTTTTGGCGCCGACCTTGACGCACGTTTTTCCGGTCTTTGTCAGTGCTCTGGAACCGAGCTACAAACTTTTAAAGTGAGTATCCTGCGGTTTAGGCAAGCTCCGCCCACTGGTTGGGCCGGATCTCAATCACACTTGGGCATGCCCAATACTCGCCAGATATTTACATTCTGCACTGAGCTTTTTGCGGCTTCTGACACTCTCGCGAACCGAGTTACTGAGTTTTATGCGAAGCACCGCCCACCTTGAGTACGCCCCGCCCATTTTGGATGTGTCTGCCACAGTTAGTCTGGCGACTCCTTACTAACCTTATTCCCTTTTTCAACCATCTAGCTGCTCCGGAGCGAAATTATGAAACATTTTTCTGTGAAACCTCAAAAATTTCAGTTTGAGTGCCCCGCCCACAGTGGGCGGGGCTTCGCATAGGTCAAGTGTGTTTTTTATTTCTTGTCCCATGCTCTACCCATCCCCACCTTGACCCGACCTCTCCAAGTCGTTCTTCAGGTCGAACCGAATTTCCGGACAGACAAACAAACTTACAAACAAACAAACCAAACAAACTTTACA